CCCGGATATCGGCTTTTCGTCCTCACTTTGGTGGGAAAACACCGCCACGAGAGGGCAGTGAGTAGGGCTTCTCCAACAGCGGCTATTTGAGACGCTTGGTCGTATGCGAACATTTCGCGAGGTGCAAGAGAGGGATGATCAGCCGCAACCCGAGATATCGACCGCCGACCATTCTGAGGCTTTCGGAGGCTGATGATTTCATCCCTTTTTATCAGTCCATTCTAGGAGTTTGTTTTGTGGAACTAGCCTCCATGTCCATTTAAATTCACTCAAAGTTGCGATAGTAGTTTGGCTTCTCTGAATGGAAATGGGAATGTTTAGTTCCCTACTCTGCCTCCTGTGTACTAATAGCCGAATCCCCGTTCGAGATTACAGCTCCCTTCCACCCTAGTACACCAAGGAGAGTGATTTTCATCATAACTGCTCTGTCTTTCTTTTACGGTTCAATTTAATAATGATCAATAATTTGAAAGTAACTATTCTCGGCGTACGTTTTGTACGCTCGCAATCCAAGTTGGTGCAGGACTGGGTCGGTCGAGCTGTCACTTTCACTCTAACAGAGAGGCAGTAAAGGAGGGAACCAAGTTTTTCTGTTTAGGCAGCTACGTCTGACCTTGTGCACATATCACGCATAAAGTTTCGGTACACCTCCAGAGTGATTGACTAAGATTTACCAACTTGAGAAACGCATGCCACTGCCACGACCCATGACTGTCATTGAAGAATCGAGTTAATACATTTTGTCCCGTTTTTCTATATGATGTACAGACTTGGCTTTTACGGGAACAGCGTACAGACGGATTGCAGGTGTTCTAACACTGCCTACGCCACATTGCTGGAGTCAAATGGAGCAACCAGGAAGCTATGTGTGGGTTAGACGGAGAATTCAAGGTAGTCTTTGTGGCGTACTGTAACAGGTGTTTGATCTCCATAGTTCAAGTTGAATGGTGTGTGTTACGCATGTAGCCGAATAGATTTCGTATGTGCGCATTGTTTACCGAGTCAAGTAGTGGATGGAAAAGTCAAGGTTCGTTCACCTAAGTTCCTATTAAATGTCTGCAAACCGTGATCGGGCTACTGGGTCAAATATGTTGCATTAGACTTCCTGGTTGAGAACCTCGGTATCCGTTTAGTTGATGATTAGGGACATTGAGTGGCGGGGGTGTGCCGTAGTGGTTCGTGTGCATCTCGATAGCTTTGCAAATGTCGTTCAGCTGCATTCTGTCTCATTGTGCTGGTACTGCTCTCAGCCTTTTACTTCGTTTCACTATTTTGCCACTTAAATGGATTGTAAAAAAACAACTTAATTCGCCGCACCGAGGTGCTTTGTTCAAAGCTGTATGAACTTGACTGAGTCTAATGGTTTGTACTGCATTCAACACTAATTGTGTTTATTAGACGTGAAATATTATATGTTGTTTCTATATCTATATCCGTGAAATCACAATAGATAGCAGATGTAAATGCTTCTCNGCATATTCGTGCGCCGGTTTTGGTTGCTGTCTTTTGGCTGCCCATTTGGATGAAGAATAGGAGAAGAAACGAAAGTTGAAAGTGGATTTGAACAGAAAGTGGAAAAGTTCAGTGGTCTAAGGTTGCGAAGAAATTGAGAAGATGCGAGAACGCCACTGTTTACGGCACAGCCACATCACTCAGTGTCTCTAACCATCGGTTATGATCATCCCGAGGTCCCCAGGCAGGGAACCTAACAGAACCTATGTGATCCAGTCTCCTGGTTAGGGTTTTCATACCCTCGTGCCAGGTCATAGCTTGACCACCCTTAGCTTTTTACCACTCGGTGTCTTCTTCGGCGAACATCGTTCGCCGTGGCAACCTATCTGGTGACATGCATAACATATGTCCCAACCAACGAAATCTATGGAGGTCGACCATTTGCTCCATTGGGCGACCGCGGATATCCAAAACTCTGCGCCTCACCTCAGCATAGCTTATCCGGTTACAGCTCTAGATTCGTGCAATGCTGCGTAGATAGCGGTGTTCTCAATCTGTTGACAACCAGCCTGATAAATGGGTTTTGCATTGTGCAGCGTTAGATCGCGAAACCAGATTTCACAATACTAAGGTATGGCATTGATCCAAGTCAGGTATAAAGTAACTTTTGTAACTTTTGCTTGCTCTTATTTCGTTCTATCAGCAATGTGTCATCATCTGGTTGCTGATGACAGCTTTTTCCCGGAAACGGTTGAAACGAATGTTTATCTTAATTATCGTTTCTCTCTTTGCCATACCTAGGGACGAGTGGAATGGCTTTCTGATCTGTCCAGCTTCAATACACATTCACAGTGTTGGTCCAAACATCCACTGCGACATGTTGAAGGTCTTATTATGGAACCTCCTATTCCGGTTACAGCTGGTCAAACAGGTTGTTTTCTGCCAGCAGGGGAGACCGGGCACCCAAGTGTACTTGTGTTGTTCGGTGGGATTTCGCAGTCCATGACCGAGTGCGTAAATGATGTGTGCCTTATCAATCCCAATAGGTGTGAATGGATGAGCTTGACTGCCCCCCCTCGGGAAAAGAGAAGCGTAATCCCATGGCCCTCTGGACGCTGTGGACATTCCGTGTGCGCTCTGGACTCCACCCGAATGCTCGTTTTGTTCGGCAATCTCCAATCCCCCGTCGGTCATTCCGCGTCAGATGATTCGCCACCTGCTCGACGGCAGCGTTTCCCTAATGGAGCAGACGTCGGTGAAGGCGAACTAGGTCAGGAGGACCTTTCGTATCATGGTCAACCCGCCGGGGATATTTGGATTTTAACTCGGACGAAAGCAAATCCACAGTCATTAGGTCAGTGGTAAAGGTTCTAAACTGTCAACTCATGTAACGGTGTTTCACGTACAACTCTTCGCATAATATTTTTTTATTTATGTCTATGAATGATACGGGGACTGAGCACAAAGTTTCCGGATACGCAGTACACGTAAGAGGTACAGATCACCAGGTAAGGAAAATGGGAACTGTAATCTATTGTGAATCTTGTTCAGTGATTTCAACTCATAGAACCAAATACCAACAGCCAAGCACAGCTCACAAGTCATAAGGGTCGCTATAATAGAACTGTAAGGATGGAATTCAGTCGATGTCACTGGAGAGTGATATTTTTCTACGACTACCAATGCGGTTTAANGCGGTTTAAAGCAGCAGCAGCAGCAGCAGCAGAGTGTTGCTCGTTTGCGACCTACCTTTGGTAATGACGCGGCTTCAAGAAACACTGTGTTCCCAAATGCCATTCGCATGATGCGTGGAATCCGATACGAGTCACCAACAGCTGCACAGGAGACCTTTATCGAACTGATCAAAGGATTGCCCGCTTCGGCATGTTCACCAAATAGTTTGAGTTCATGAAACTGCATGGACTTAAAGAAAATGTAATTTAACAGATGAGACTTTTTGTGCACCCGGAAAATGTTTGCTCACCCCCGTAGATTTGGTGGTCTTAAGCTTAGTAGCTGCTAGTTATGTGGCTGCCTAATTCTTTTCTATATTTTCTTCAATGCTTGCTATTGAGATTCATCCGCAACATTGTTGTGGCATCCATATACGGATCATGTGTGCACTGTCAAAACTCAGTCTATGACCATAATAAGCTGATGTATTCATCAGCAGCAACATCTCGGCAAACCACTCAACAGGTGAGCTAAATCAGGTTCAAGGTAACCACAGGGTATAACTCGGATGAGTCGGTGCACGGCGTGCGAAGATGGCTCCTCCTGAGTGATCGAACGCAGCCTATGCCTAATTAACCGGCCATAAAGAAAATCTGTCAACTCGACTAAAATACATGACTTCACACCAGTGGGAGCCGTCTGAGCTCCTTGTGAGTCACCGACATGTACCAACACACTGTTGCCCTGTAGTTTGCACTTGTTTGTGGAAAGGCTAGAGATGCGCTTTAGCTTTACCTTTGGCGGCTTCGGTTGTTGCAGACCGCCTTGCAGGTTGAAGGCCTGAGGGATGACGATTGTCGTTGGTTAGAGACGCTAAGACATATGACCCAGAATGGAAGTCAGTGTCGCAAATGCTACCTGTTGAAATCCCGTGCTCTGTAAAAAACCATAAACTAACACAAAAGATGTCAAAATAGTATAGTGGAACACCTAAAAAAACTGCTGTCTTTCTTGTTATCCACTGTTTTCCATTGTAACTGCTTCACTTTCTTTACACTTCGTTCTGTATCTTGATCCGCCAATCCCTTGTTTCTGTTATTATTGTTGTGGTGTTGGCACCATGCTTGTCCGCAAGTCGGTGATTATAAAGTGAATGACGTTTATAATGTTTCTTGTACCGTGCTCCCACGGAACCTCTGGATCACTTATGATGTCGGCTTATTATCTCAAAGAAGATAGTCGCAGTAAAGTAGAGTAAACATGTGTACGTTTAAATTTCCATCTTGGAGGAGACGATGAATGAAAGACCACTCATAAGTGGGAAATAAAGGAGAATTGTGAAACGCCGACAATCTAGGAAGCTCGACACCACCAAGCTTGTTGGTTACTGTACATTTGATATCGGACATTGAACTAACAATCTCTTAAACTTCTTTCCAGTTGCAGTAGCATTTCCAGGACGGTTTGGTGATTTCATTGTGTGCAGGCATTTTGATTCATGCGATAAATTTATCATCCGTATACTGTCAAATGAAAAATACTGCGCGCCTCCCCATTTCAATAAATGTTTCATCCGAATACACATTCCCAATTAAGGATTCTACGTGCACGGACCACCATATACGGAAACAACATCTTCCCTTATTTTACTCTTATCTTTGTTAATCGTTACTCACTCGGAAAATCATCTCTCACCTTTACTTTTAATCATATCCACTTGTTTTTCATTTAGTTAATGTTTTTTCTCTCAAGGCTTTACATTTTTTTCACTGTAGCTTACCGACATTGCTGAAAATCCGTCCTATTGGGCTCATAAAGCCTAACTTGACTTGGCTTGATACAAAGAATAGATGTTCGGATACGCTTGTCTATGATAACTAGAGCTCGTTTCAGGGAAAATGCCTTTAGACAGGACAGCTAGACTGTATTAACATTCACACTTGGTTTCCGGGATACACGTCCCACACTGTGACTCGGGTTATATATCTGTTTCAAACTCATTTTTGTTTGTCCGATGTGCAGTCATCTGAACTTGCATGGTATTCCTTTTTGTTGATGAACAACGAAGAAAAAAGTGGTGTTTAAAGTTTCAGATTTATGACTTTTGGCAATATTTTTTTGTCTCCATGAGAATTTGTCGTGAACGAAGAATCAAGTGTTGAAACACAGAAGCAATTTAGGGTTGTGGCATCCTTGTTCTAATTCTTATTATGTTTCACGTAAGCGAAGTGCGCAAGCTGAGCCTGTTCGCAAAAGGAGGATGACAAATGAGGAAGTGTGCGGTCTGAGAACAATTGAAGTTTAAAGTGCAAGATTCTGGTGGCGACAAGGACGCTAATAGACATTTCAGTGAGTTATACTCCGGCAATTCTCTTGTAAGTATATCTATAGTTTCAACAAATGAAAAAATCCTTTTGTCTACCTACACACAATATAGCACAATGCACTTTCGCGAGCTTGTTGCTAGATCATCTGATCACTAATCTTCAAGATCATTACTCGTTTGGAAACATTCCGAACCTGCATTGTACATGAACGTAGTTGATGGAGGTTTCGATTCGAGTATCTGGTGAATTTTGTCAGGAATAGAACCGACGAGCATACGCTGACATTTTAGAGACCCATGGAAGTCAAATCAGTGGTACAGTACCTCTTAGTTTCTCAGTTGTGTTTTCGTATGGCCTGGACACGACGAACTTCACTATATAGTAAAAACAGTTGTTTTTCAGGTATTTTAACGGTTAGATGGTGAATCGATGTATGTTCGTTGGGATCAGGATGTATCTGTATCAATGGTAACGTGTTAGGTCGTCGGAGTAAAGTATGTTAAAAGCAATAGTTCTTATCGAAAATGACGTTTGATATTTTGTCTATTGAAACTTTTCTCTTGCTTGTTTCTAATTCTTTCCAGACTGGTCCAGTGTAAATTGGTTTTGGACCAAGGTCGACTGCACCCACTCATCTGTTGGTTGTCCCCCACTAGATTTCTATCATGCTTGTACTGTCTGTTTACCTTGGGCAAGTACCGCAACCACATCGGCACAGACTGAAGCGACCGCGTCCCAGGTAGACGAAGTTCAGTATGCTGAACAACAGCTCTGGGTCAAAACTCCACCTAGCATAGATCTGGGACGCACATTTATCGTAGTTTGTATCAGTCAGCCCACACGCAGCCTTCTGGAAGAGGCGGCCAAACAGCGCCGTTATTGGTGGCATCGAGCTCGTGCTACTCCAGATACCCGAGTTAAATCGGTTCCTCGTTCAAATTCGTTGTCATCTTCGATCATGGATATTACTCCGGATATTGGCAATGCCGGTGGTGGTTCATGCGATTCGGTGACTATGTCTGTGCTCCCACAAAGCTCTCCATCTTCAACCCAACTGCACCCAGGTACCTTCGATGAAAACCAAACAAATGAAGGTGAGTTGTCGACCGATTCAGTTTTTGTTCAACGCGCTTTTTATTCCTAAAATACACCTCATATCGTGAGAGATGCAAAACTGAGGGTTATGAATACTTTTCAGTAGAAATTCATCATCTCATTATGTTATGGCAGATGGATACCTTGAGAAAGGTCAATGCATTAGGATTGTATGTTTTTTGAGAATTTTCATGGCCAACTTCTTGTCATTGTTAGCGTGGAAATCACAGTTTATCAACTGACATTTCCAGAAACGTACCGAATAGACGTAGCTACACCGAGAAACAATTTTCTGAAGTCATTGTAAGCAATCCGGGGGAACAGTATAAAATGACGAGTATGAAGCGCTCATAGATAAGAGACTTCATCACTAACTTTGAAGCAAATAACCTCTGCGCAGGAATACACCAGTTTCATGGATCCTTACTTATGGTCGACAATACTCTGCGATCTAAGAACAGGCCTCATCAGATTTCAACAAAACCAAGATCCCAGTTTCAAGCACCATGCCCTGCACGCAAACCTAAGTGCTCCATATCAGGTCCAGTTGTGAAGACCCAGGTCTTCAGTTGGTCTCTGCAGCTATACCAAGTCGGACAGTTGGTTGGAGCAAGGAGGAAAACACGGATCGCAAAATATGGTGTTGCTAGAGTTTACGAATTCGCTAAAATAGACAATATGTTTTGCTTAGGTAATGTTTTATGTGGCCGGTTCAACGGAAGGAGTCCCGTAGTGTACTACCAAGTTATTCAACAGACTGAGTGTGACAAGGCAGTGGGATTCTGCACAATCTGGTTGCGTAGAAACTCCATATGGTCGATAAAAGGTACATTCGGACAATTTCGAGAGAGTGAGCAAGGTTTTGGGAAGGTCACATATTATCTGGATATAAAGCAACGTCTATGGCATATCAGGGAAGAGGTCACTCTGTGTTTCAAAAAAACATTACTGTACTTTTAAAAAACGGATAATGAAAAAGCAACCAAAATTAGAACCGAACAATGTCCACTTGCTGGTTGTATAGACTGAAACTTAAATTTGTAACCGATTGTCGGTCAGTTTTTCTCCCAAATACCCAATGACAACAAGATATTAATACTGACTGTGCATGGATTGTACATCTTCCATTGATTAATTGGAACGGCTTTATTTTGATGAACAGTTTGTGCTACCCGTGCCAATGTTTGTCTTGTCGGTTTAAGTGTCAGAAAAACATTACTCATTACTCAATATCTTTCTGTCCTGGATTAATGCAATATCACTCTCATATTTCACATCCCTCTCGTAAATTTTGAAATGTCCGGGTGCTTACGGTCATCGTGCTGTTTATTTTCTCCAACCCTTTTATATCTAGCTGCAGTTAATCGCACAACTGTCAGTCTTCCACCTTCCCCTCAAGGTTCATCCTATTTGATTCAGAGCAGTCGTCGCTCAGCACAGCGTCGGGCTAGACAGCTGGAGGCACTGGCCGTCCAAGAACGTCGCCTCTTCGGATCTCGTTTATCACCTTCCCAAACAATCAGCGGATCTCAGTCTCATTCGACAAGCCCCAACCTGGTACCGTCCAGTCCTTCAAATCAGCCTAGTTCACTTTATAGTCTACTCCAATCTGGTACCCAACGACCATTAGCTGCTTATACATTTTCTATTCACGTCCCTCCAGAAACAATGACTTCATTCGGTCCAATCGAGCGAAACAAATCTGTCACAGACAATAAACAATCTATTGTTGGTGAATGGCTCATACCAAAAAGGTCTCACTTCCTAGACTTGGTCTTCGGCCCCTCTGAATGTCTGGGATTCTCATGTACTTTTGGACACGGTTGTGTGTTCTTGTTTGGTGGCCTTTGTGACTCAGATGAAGCCTCACACGATCAAACCAATGCGCCTTCCGGATCTGTAGATAGCCGACCGATAGATGAACCGTTTCATCGGTCAGAACCACTGCGAACCGGTGATCTAGGATCACTACGTCTCAGTGCCGCGCGAACTTCCCAATTCTACGTTCTTCAAGCGCAGTCGTTGGTGGGTACTTTGTTTTGAACCGTGATGGATCAATTGTGGCACTATCCACGTTCGTCATCAGTACTGTTATTGTCATTTCAGAGCAGGTTATTTGTTTCAATTCACTCCAACATGTATATAGACTGCTGCCTTTTTGAAGTTTGACTTCTGTGCTGAAAGAATGGTCCTGGTGACAGTTGTCAGTGACAGTTCCAATGGAACGCTGGATGCAAGTCACACTGAACCCGGTGTATCTTACTGCAGTTGTCACAATTTCCCATTCGTCCGACTTGCGTGTAGCTTTTACAATGAGAACTAGGACCAACCTTCTGGAGTATCCCTTACACAAATAATCGGATTGCATTTCTCTCATATAAGACCCTCCACGTTTCATGTGCACTGTGCGCTTTTGCCGAACAAATTTTTTCCGACATTTTGATGAGTGCACAGTAGTTTTGTGTACTTGTCAACTGCTGGTTTGTTCCAGCGCATGGAGGAGGAAAAAGAGAGCTCACACACGATCGAATCTTGTATGCTTTGTGCAGCCTGTTCGCCGTGTTGTCATGTCGAAACTCGTATGGAATTCGAAAGTGTCAAACGTCTTTTGGGCAGTTAGTGTATGACGAAATTATTCAATGAAACGATGAAGGCATGAAGTTATTTCGTAACCAACATCTGTTCTGGAATCCGAGATGATACTTGAGCGTCTGACGGAGAAAGCTCATTAACTGATTTTCAATAATGTTTGTGAAAAGAGCATTAGACTACTGTTTGGTCCCTGTTGGGACCTATAGGCCATGAGTGCTCTTACGGTGTCCCTACCGCGACAACAGTATACATACTCATCTTTAAAGCCACGGTGCCAAAGTAACCATGGGTTGAAAGAACAGAATAAAAACAGTCGAATTTAGATGATGAGGGGGGGGGGGGGGGATGGAGAGATAACGTTTTCGTTAGTTGACTGCACACAATTTGTTGAACATTTTTGTCTGCACTGTGCAGAGTATCTGTCAGGGATGGTGATATTTCTATGAAACAAATTTATTCCTTGTTAAATTCCATTGTCGTGCTCCACAACTAATGGGTACTCGTTAAAAAAAGATATGCAAAGAACTGCCGCAGGATTTGCGTAAATGTAAGAAATAATGTCTGCGTATACTAATGACAAATATTCGGTCAAGTGGGACGGTTCTAGTCAGTTTAAACAACCATTAGCATTGCAGTGTCGTCTGACGGTCTTGGTTATTGTCTTTCGGTTACACATTTGGTCGATTGATGAGAAAGTCAATCGGAGGGTTTCACGCTAAGAAAGTGAGTAAACTAGATCTACGGTGAAGGTGAGTAGATGCAAACGCGCCATTGTTTACGACGCATCATTTTGTCTCTAACTATTCAAGGTCCCCATCAGGAAACCTAACTCAACCTGTGATCGGGTCCCCCGGTGAGGGTTTTCACGCCCCTTATGTCCGGTCTTAGTTTGATCACTCTTGGCTTTATTTCACTCACTACTTTTATCGGAAAACACCAGATACCGGGTAAAGCTACCCGTGGTATTCGTAACAGCTGGCCGAATCATCACACTCTCTGGAGGTCAAACACTCACTTGATTTTGGGGCGATGACTACCTCATAGACTTTGATTAATTTCACTTTGCCTGTCCAGATGTCCCATCAGACTCGTGTAATGCGGATCATGGCAATTTTCGAACACGGGTAGTTTGCCATTATTCTGTTCTCGTCACGGTTAGATCCCTGTATCATACAATAGCACTGACGGGACAGCTCTCATACATATTGGACCTCGCAACATGCACCCGGAGGGAAGACATTGATCTCGATGTTCAATGGACCAGAGAAAAAGACTGGATCAGCGCTTATGATGGCATTCAATCCAATAATGACGAGCCGTATCTGACGTTTCTCCAAGCATTCAGTTAACGCATCTCACGAAAAAAACATTCAACTATAGGAAGCAGAGGTCGGTGCCGATATATTCTCTAACAATTGCAGAGCAGACATATAAAGCTCATCAGAAAGATGACTGCTTGGAATCCGTGATACCTTTATATTCTGAACCAGTTGTGCAGATAAGGCAAAACTCTTCTTGCATAATAGGTTCTAAACCCACTTTCACTTGATCGTAGTTTGTTCATCACTATATCTGTTACCTTGTTGGTGAAATCCGGAACGCAGTTTCGCATCTTGCACGATGTGTGAATCATTCTTTACGTATGACAAATGAATACTGACAGATCCGCATCTCACAGCGGACTCGATCTTCCTTGTCTCACCTTTTCAGTTGCACTCGATATCACGATGCTCATTTCAACATGTGCCAAAGTCACTTGTTACTTGTTTTACGATAAACTTTTTTGATCACATGACTCGTGAACAAATGTGTTGCAAACGTACTTGTAAGTAAATGAGTTAGTTTTTCAGTTGAATAATGGGTTTACCGGAAAAGATCAAGGTGGGAGTACATCCGTTGTGCGAAACACAAAGCATATTTCGTGAACTCATCAAAACCCACCTTGGAAAAGATCAATTGTGTTTAGGTGCGGTATTTTCCATAAAATGATATTATGTGCTTCGTGACACGGTTCAGCTCCGTTTAGGGTACTTATCTTGGTTAGTTTCGCTCGACATCCTCTTTCGAAAGTACTTGAAATTAGAACTGGAATAGAATTAAGATGTTGAAATTTTCTTCGATAAGGTATATCAACGGGTGGCATCACAGCGTTGCGTAGTGCTTCCAACTAGCGTACTGCCAGATTTTACAAGATAGCCATCGATGTACAACCAAATACCATGAAGGAAGCAATGCCAATCACTGCCGAACCCCTCAGAGCTGGTCGTCTCGACAAAAATATTTTCATCCCAACCTCGAGCGTCAAAAAGCACTGAAGTCTTTCTGCATTTGTATTTTAAACCCGTGAAGTACAACCTTTTCCATTCATCTATTGATGTAGTTATTCTTAAGATATTAGGACTAGGCAAAAAGTGAATACCATGCCACAAGCATCACTTGCTATCTCAACTAAGTAGGTAAATGAGAAAGCATGCATGGATTAGAATCAAACGGTCAACAAACATCTGTTTCAATTATGCTTTCACAAAGACGTTTACTTCTCTCGAACTGGCGGTCCTATCGGCGTTTCGTTAGCGTGTTGAGCCGTCGAATAATTCCAGTTTTACTCTAAGGAACTGGAAAAAGGGAAGCACTTGAAATCCTCCGTGGTTCCACTTTGGAAATTTTCGATGCAATGATTTCATTGTAATTGAAACCTCCCCATGTTCTTAGTCACTCATGTCTGTAAACAGGTTACTCTTCAAGTCCAATCTCGGACAAATTTCGCTCTGAAATGGAGTTTTTTTTCGCGTTTAAAATAAAGTCAGTCAGAAGACGCTATGATGTTACTAGTAATGCGCTCGATTTATCTGGCCCGTCGGTCGACTATAGCATTCCATTGGGATTTGTCTATCGTCATCCTTTGACCGCAGCATACATTTGACATGCGAGCTCATTTATGGCCTACAACGACATACACTTCCACGCTTAACAATCCGAAACATTTCCAGGACTACAAGAATCAATCGCCCTAGGTATAATAAGCCAACTTCTGAAAATTACACTGTTGTACCTCAAATGTTCGACGATCAGATAAATGCGCTTCAGTTAGTCAGCTGTTTTTGAGGCCGATCAACTATCACATGACACTGATCAATACAGTGGTCTTGTTTGAACACGTCACATTCTCAGTTAAGCAGCACAACATTTGAGTCCTGCAACATGACAGCTCATGGCCCTATCACACACCTGGAGTGATGGTGTACAATGCTTTGACCCTGTTTACAGACGATCCTTTTCGTGTCCAACGCAAACCTGGATAAATGCGTTACACGAGGAAGTTGGTTTTGAACCATTCTGGTTTATATTCACAAACTACTCTGGAGTACTTGAAACAGATCACCTTGAGTACGATATCCGGGATGTTTATGTGACTAGCTCGGATGTAACTTCTATCATTGTTATTTCCACAGCAGTGCCACGTCAACCGCATCAAGGTTCTCAGAGTAATTTGGGTTGTTCGAATGATTTAACAATTCATTCCGCTCAACTTCTGCCTACCACTTTCGAGTCAAATGTAGGCCGATTCGGAACACATACGGGCGATACTTCCATCCACAACGAGGACTCTTCTTTTGACGTTGTTCGGACTACAGCTTTTCACGACCCAAGTAATGAGTTGACAATATATAACCAAGAAAGGGGAACACATTCGTCTGATGTGTACGTCACTGCGGATAATTATCACACTTCTTCTTTCACTTCGGTTGAGTCAACACAGTCTTCCAACTCAGTGCGACCAGGACAGAATTGCTCTCAAGCGGAAAATTCCTACTGGCCAAATCCTGACGATGCCGGTCTTTTATTTTGCAATGATCAAATTCACCCATTTTCTTCTGTATTCGGCACAAATCCTTTACATTTGCATTGCAGTCGGGATAAAAAAGAGCGTGTTTCACCTGTGAACCTATTGGCTAGTCAAGTGTCTGCGAAATTTAACACTTCGTCTGCACGATCTCCTGCACTACTTGGATTAGTTGTTTATCATGTGATGGAAGAGTGGACATGTCTCTCTCCAGTTGAGCAAGCTAAGCTCATCAAGTACAATCCACTTGATTCCGGAGTGAACCTACTTAGTCGTGCTCAGCCCGTTTACTCGATACATAACGTACGACAACTGAAACGAGGTACGGTTTCACGGTCTTCCATACCGAAATCTAATAACGATGTGAATCCAGAGGAGATGAAAACTTCCACCGAACTAGGTAGAACTGAAAATCCATGTACGATATCCTGCCACGGTGAAGTTAGTTCCATTGAACAATCTAAAAATCCTCGACTTTCATTGCTGTTCCTGCAGAACTCTGCGTCTGATAAAAATGGCAAAAAACCCTCGAATGAATCGGAGTCTGTATCCCCCCGTCCTTCTGGAACCATGTTTATAGGCCAGTGTACGGAAAATCGTCGCACTCATTCTCCGATTCCAATGGCCTCGAAAAATTCGAATCAACTGCCCGCCCAGGTCAGTGATAGTGTTTCCAACGACGACTGTAAAGAGCCATTGATGCATATCCAAGAGGGAAGAGTTTCTTCACCTTCAATCGTATCCCGGCAACTCTTATCATTGCCCATCGAGCCTGGGACTAGACCTAGCATGGTGTCCGTGTGTGGAGTAGAAATGGATGTGGACGAGCTGCGCTCGCTAGAAGATGTTCCACCGGAATTCACCACAGCCGAAGCTCTACTTCGTCGTGCAGTTAAATCCGATTCAATACATGCCGAACGCCTATCTTTATTTGCTCGGCACAGCACATCACACGGTGTATCAAAACAGGGCAGCTCACTAGAAGATTTGAGCAAGCGAATTCCGACTGAACGGAAAATAGAAGAGGTGAATGTGGAGTTTCGCATCCCGCTAGGTAAAATGAGTAGCGAGGTCGATCATAATCAACCGGTGTCACCGAACCGAACAGCCAGATCCTCAATACTAACGGTCCATCCACCACATCCACACCCAACACATGTTGCTCGTCTATCCGAGGAGTTGGCCTCGGGAACTGAGTTTCCAGAGCTGAATTCGAAAATCACCGCTGCATCTTGGGCTACAATGGATTCCACTGAGCTCAGTCGGGCCCTGAACTTAATTCAACGGAGGGAAACCAGCAGTAGCGACGTACTGGATGCGTTAAATACTCGCAAGGACTCATTGCCTGCGGATTTGACGAGACCATCTAAACTACCTGCAAAAGAATGGCAGTTGCATATATCTCACGCAAAGGTTGGTTTCAATTCGGATTCGCCTCGTTTTAGTCAATGTTCACGAACAGTTCTCACGAAGCATCATCAATAC